TGTTATGTTATGCAAAATTGAGAGCAATTTCAAATCTATTCATTATTTTTATACACCGTGTAGTGTAGGCGGACTGTCGTTCTTTAATATTATTTTTTATAACAGGAGTTATTCGATGGTTGAAAGCGCACTGATCTGACATGTTTCTTACAACGGTATTAGAAATACACGCCTTCTCGTCAACATCTTCAGCATCTGTAACGTTCTCCCATGTTTCTTCACTTTAGCTTGCAACATTGGTGGACTCCCTCAATTCATAGGTCTAAATTTCTTTGTAACAGGTGTCAGGTGGTAGAGCGTTATGCATTGGTGGTCTGATCGCCCAAACGGAGGGAGCTGTTCAACAGTTTGGAACAGATGCGGCATATTTGTTAAGATTTGATCAAGGATGGCATTGCTCCTCGTGGGCGATTTCACGCATTTCACAAACCAAATTGTCTACATAATGGATCGAAATGCAGTTAATTAAAATCCCCAGTTAATAATATTAAGGATAGTAAACTTGAATGGAATGGAATTAAACGAATCATATCTCTAAAACCTAAGGCCAATATACAGTATTACCAACTAAAATTTTCCAAGATAAGGAACTAACAGATAATAAATTAATTGCAAATGCTTTCAACAATTATTTTGCAAATATTTGTGATCAACTTGCTAAAAATATACCTAATGTTCCATAATCGCCAGGGGGAATATTTAGGTGATTCCCTGTGTTTTTTATGTTTATAATATTTATTATAATATTGTTTTTGTACTAATTCGTAATAAATTATTTAATTTATTTCTATAATACTTGAATTTTGAATGATAATAAAGAGATTTCGTTTTTAGGAATTTCTTATACAATCTATTTTTATACGAATAGATGACGGTCACATCCTTGGTCCGATCCCCTTTCAATGAAATCTGTTGCTCCACAATGCGGGCCATTTGTCTGTTAAAAATCGCATTCATAATTATAATCTTAAGAGTGAATCAACTTGTCCCGCTATAAGAAGAACTCCAAACTTGTACAAGAAAAACATCAGAAATCGCATTTGATAAGAATATTAAATGCAACCTTCTGTTTCTGTCATTTTCAGCACCATCGGATCTCCTCTCTACTAAAACGTATTTGCATGCTCTTTTCCGATCCATTCGATATTATTGTAGCTTTATTCTCCTACCATCTTTTGGGAAATAGGTAAGGGGAAATGGGCAAGGACCGACGGCTGACGATTAAAATTTCAGAAACGTTCAGTTAGGCTACTGAAGAACTGCCAAAGCGACACACCAACTGTTTTCATGTTTCGCAGCAGCCTGACTTGTTAAAGTGTGGATAATTTTGTTGGTGTTATGAAATGTGCACACTGTTCATTTTAGAATTTGGAAATGTTTTAATCAAAACTCTCCAATAGTGGAATCTGTGGAATTATGTTCTATTTTCCTTCCTGTCTGGCCTAAAAAACCGCAAGCTGCGTTTTGACTTTAATTTGACCATTTAGAGCATTTCTCCTGTGTTCGTTAATGTAAATATTTATACTCAGTAATTTCTGTAGTGTGTCTATGTAATAGTATATGTTAATAGCCTACTTATAAAGGAAGACACTGTTACCAGTCTATCTTTTAGGAAGACACTGTTACCAGTCGCAATCTAGAAATGCACCCTTTTTAAATAAAGGTCATTCATTTCAGGAAATACCCATTTCACTGTCCTATAGTTTTAGAATACCGATCAAATCTTTGAATTTGTATCATTGTAGGTTGATTTCTATCTCTTGATTCTTGGAGATCATTCTGTTGATCAGGTTTATATCCATCTTGGTCCTGACGAAATTAAACAGCTGGAACTTGTTTATGAATGTACTAATCTTTGGAGATATAGCGTAACGTTCGCTGGTGACCCAATCAAAAGCCGTTTCAAGTATAAATACGGGTTTAACAGAAGAGGACATGACTTTACGATACCGTACGTTGGCCGGATTGGAGTGCTTAGCAAAGATCCTTCAAAGTGTGTAGAATCCAGTGAAAAGCAAGTAGAGTCACAAGCTCAGTTTGATGTATTTCATTTTCCACAAGACAAGAGTTATTTGTATGACACAGTTCCCGAGGCTACAATCTTCTACCTGAAGTGGTTGTTGCCATTTGTTTTTCCTTCATCTATTTCTGAAACACTTACCCATATCGAACGTTTCCAGTTCAATACGTTCAGCAGAAAACACGTGAAAGAATGTGTCAATTGGATTGTGGAACGTGCTTCAGGCTTTTCTGTTTCAGACGTACAGCGATTGTATTTATGTATTGTTCTGAGTCACCTAGCAACATTTCCGTCCGCATTACCGTTGCCAAATGAGAAGACGGCTGAAGCGTGCGATCGCTTGCTTCAATGTTTGAATAGCTGTGTTCATTCCAACTTTCTTTCAACATCAGATCTCGACCGTTTGATAAAAATCGCCATTATTTTGGTAGAAAACAGTAGCAGTCCAGGCTGGCTCACCCTTGCAGCCCATTTTTATCCCTATCTTGGACTTGAATTTGTCTTGGATAAAAAATATACTGGAAATCTGAACTACCGATATGATGTAAAGGAATACAAGAAAATGGTCTACGCACTCCTTTTAAATAAAAAGATAACAAATAATGATCAAACTGCCCACCAAGATTTATTATATTTAATGCTGAAAAACGCTCCAACTTTGGACGCTGCTTCAGAGCTGTTTGAGAATTCCAACGTCCGCCAGTTCTTTACCGATGAAGATCAAAAAATCGACTTTTTTGTCAAGTTCTATCAGGGCACAACGCGAGCTACTGACACACAGAATGGAAGTGTAGGTGCGAAGTTAGTTGAATTTTATGAAATTCCGGAGAAGGTTCGTGGCAGAATGCACAAATTACTGTTCTCAATATTGCTCGAGTACGCCAAGTCAGATGACGAGTCAAATGATGAACATGTGAAAATATTTCTTAACTCAATCATTTCAGAAAAAAATTTGGATATGGATAAAGTTCTTGAGATACTAACTGAACTTTCCAAGTCAAAGTCAGTTCCTCGCCAAAATTTACTACTCAGAGTTCTAGATAACGAGTTGTTTGAGCAAGATTGGCATACAACGTCGCTTGCACGAAAGGTGGCCATCTGTAAGTCGTGGGTAATTAACAAGACGCGTGCCAGCAGTCTCGGTGGCATGGATAAGATTGTAGCAGCTTATGGAGCTATCAATGCCATAATCAAGTGTTCTTCGAATATTTCAAATAAAGCTCTCGCTCAAAATGTGAGCGCCTGCGTTGTGGAAAGAATTTTAGGAAATGAAGACGCTATGTCTGTTCTTAAAGCTTTTGCTAACATAGGGAAATGTGTGCCCATCGTTCAGGAGTGCTACAAATCTCATGTAAAGAAGGTATTAGAACAGACACCAAAGGTCGTGAAAAAGTCAACCGTGTTTCTAAAGGAATGTTCAGGCAGCAGGTGCGCATTTTCTATATTTCAAATGACTTATCATTTAAGTGAGAATTAAAAACTGAGAAGCGTGGCTTCTAGCCAAACACAGCCCAAAGGCTGTATCTGGTTAAAAACTTGCGCAGAGCGAGTCTTACTGTATTACAATTTACACGATTGATAATTACACAAACTTGTACTGCTCATGTTGCGTTACAAACTATGGAAAGTTTAGGTCCATCCGTATATTTTGACAAGTATTATTTGCTACAGCAACTATTACAAACAATATCTAAAGATATAATATTTTGTT